GAGAGACTTGCTGCATGGGTGGGGGGCTCTGACCGCTTTTGTCCACTTTTGTTTTAAGGCACAGGTGTGACCCGGCAGAGAAAGTGATGAGCCACTGAGCACCGTCAGGGACCTCGGGACCTTCTGTCTCAGGGCCACACCAGGAAATGTCATTAGTTCTTCTGTCGGTGTTTCAGTACACACCCAAAAAAGAGCTGCTGCTTTTTATTACTTACTTTGAATTTGCTGTAGGGTACAGGCAGTGGGGGGAAGGATGAATGAGGAGTCCCTGGGGACATAGCCATACCACAGTCCTGTCCTCTCAGAATTCTGAGCACACCCAGTGTGTTTTCTCAAGCTGCCAGGTCCAAGATTGACCCTGCAGTCAGCCACAAGGGCGTCAGACACCTTTGCCATCCTTTAAGTTACCAGTGGGCATGTACGCTCGCCCAGGAGGGAGAGGGAGAGAGAACCCCAAGGGCGGGATCGTGCTGCAGCCCCTCCCCTTCTCCACCTTTTGGGGGTTTGACACACTCACAAGCTCCAGGTCAGGGTTCAGCCCGGTCAGACGTGGAATCTGGCTCCCTTAACCACTGTGCCTGTGGCTGGCCTCAAGAATGAACTACTTTTTTTTACTAAGAGATTTTTCCCGTAGGCGTGTGCACTTGCTAGAGAGAAACAGTGAGAAGGAACATGATATATCGCCCAGCGAGGAGATGGCCACACCGCAATCCCTTCCATCCTCCTCCTGAGATCTTGGGCATAGACACACATGCCTGGCGTGAGTTTGAAGCCACCAGGTCCAGGATTTGAACCGCGATCAGCCATGTGGGAGTCTAGTGACGTAATCACTACACCATCTGCTGGTCCCTCTTTAATTTCACTTTGCAGGGTTCCTTTAAGGATCATGGGGATGGGTCCAGCAGGTGGTGTAGTGGTTAAGGTGCTGGACTCCTGCGTGGTTGACCGTGGTTTGAGTCCTGGACCTGGTGGCTTGAAACTCATGATAGGAGCATGTGCATTTCCCAAATCCTGAGAATGGAGGAGAAAGGACTGTGGCTTGGTCGTCCCTTTGGGGCTGGGGGGGGGGATTTCTCACTTTTCTTTTTATTCTTTTTTTTTTTTTAAGAGAGATTTCTGCTGTAGGATGCGAGATTTCACTGGAGAAACCTTACACGGAGAGGGAAAGTGAGAAATCACCCGCGGGGGGATGGCCACCCCACAGTCCCTTCTCCATTCTCCTCCTGAGATTTTGGGTATGCACACACACATACTGATGTTCATTTTACGTGACTGGGTCCTGGACTTGAACTGCGGTGGACTATGTGTGAGTCCAGCCATGTGACGATGACACGATCTGCTTTCTGTCTCTGGCGAGCATGCACACCCATAGCAAAAAATCTCTTTTAAAAAAAAACAAAGTGTGTGGCTTTCTTACTAAGTACATGTTGGGGCCAGCAGGTGATGTGAAGGCACTGGGTCCCACATGGGCAACTCCATAGGTTGAGTCTCAGACCTGATGGCCTCAGAGATGCCAGGTGTGTGTGTGTGCCCAAAACTGAGAGAAGGAGTGGCAGGAGGCCATTCCCTGGGGTAGGGGTCCCTCCCTCTCCCTGTCCAAGGAGCGTATGTGCCCTGCCCTCCGACCTTGCCCCTTGCCGTTGGTCCCCTTCAGCAGAGGTGGAAGGTGCCCCCAGAGCCACATCCCGATGCTTGCCCTCTCGGGGCCTGCTGGAGCAACACAGCCACCTGCTGGCTGGCTCCCGTCAGCTGGCGTCCTCTCTGGAGGTGCCGAGTTTGCAGTGGGATGGACCTGCTCCCCAGCCTCCTAACTCGTCACAGCCTGTTGGAGCCCATGGCCCTCGGGAGGCCAGAGCTGTGCCTTGGCTCTCCGGCTTTGTCCATGTGGCCGTGAGTCACAGCACCTCTGGCCCTCCCTGTGGCCCGGCTCCACAGATAGCCGTTCCAGAGGGTGGACGGGCTGCACCCTCTAGGCCGATGCGGGCAAGACGCAAGGCCCACAGGCAGCGCCGCCTGGTGCGTGGTATTCGCTGAGTGCTGCTTCCCCTCTCCCGAATGGGGCTGTGCACTGGTGGAGTTAGGGAGGTCATGGCGAGGGCCTGGCCCCAGCTCTGGACCCATGTAGCCCTCACCCTTGCCCCAGGCTCCCTGGGCTGGAAGCTCTGGGGCCCTGTGCACATGTGTCCTCTTCTGGACAGAAGCCCAGAGCTGCCTCGGGTGGCACCCACACCCGGGCCGTGGGTGGAGAGCTCCCAGGCTGTTCAGTGTGTGCCTCTGTCAACTTGTGAGTGCATTTGCAAAAGGGTGGCAGGAGAAGGGTACAGGGGGAAGGGACACGGGAGTCAGAGATAAGTCACCCATTGATGAGATCTCTCTCTTGGTGCCTGCCTCTTCACATGTCAGCTCCTCCCCCTCTTCATGGTTTTTTAAAAATTGGCCCTAAGAGCACACGTGCTCACCAGGGAGAGAGAGTGCACCCCTAGGAGGGGTGGCCACACCGCAGTCCCTTCTCTCCCGGGGCCCGATGTTTCTCAAGCCACCATGTTTGTCCGTATGGGAGCCAGCTGCCTTCACATCACTGGCTAGCCCTATTATTTTTTCCTTCTTAATGTAGATGTTACTTTAAAATTTTTTAAGCTTTATTTTTCCATGGGCAAGAGACAGAGCAGTCCTGGTTCTTCAGTCCAGCCTCAGCCAGCCGCAGGTTGTGGGCACAAGCGTGCCCGTTGTGCTGTGGGAGGCCCGGGGGGTGAACTTGGGGCCTGCCCCTGTGGTCGGCCCCACAGTGCGGCGTCCTGCTGCACCACCTCCATCTCTGATTGCCGAGTCTTTGTTGGCAGAACTTTTCCCTGGAGTGGTGTAAACAGCCAGATGTGGGCCTTCCCAAGCCCGACCTCGTGCTGTTCCTGCAGCTGCAGCTGGCGGACGCAGCTGCTCGGGGGCAGTTTGGCCGCGAGCGCTATGAGAGTGGGCCGTTCCAGGAGCGGGTGCTGCAGCGGTTCCACCAGCTCATGGAAGACACAAGTGTGACCTGGAAGGTGAGTGTCCCGGATGCCCAGATAGGCTCACTGCAGGTGGCGCTGGAGCTGGCCCAGCGTGGGCAACCCCTTGGTCCTCGTCCAGGCTGGTCTGGCCCTGGGGTTGTATAGAGGCTGGGCCACCTCCCCTGGGTGCAGTGCCTTCAGACCCGCTGGCCAGCCGGGTCGGCTGTGCTGCCCAGGCTGCAGCTTTGGGCTGCAGGCCCAGGGCTCTGACCCTGCTCCCCGATGGGGTGCCAGCTCCTCCTGGGCTCCCTCCCACCTTCTCTACTGGCCAGGAGCCTTGCCCTCCCACCCCCCAGGCCCAGGAGCCCCCCTTCCATCCTGGACGCTGGGCCCACACCCTCTGCCACAGCCCTGCTGCGTCCCTTCACCAGGCGGAGCCACAGCAGGCCGCCACACAGCAGCTTGGCTGGGGCAGCGCCGGCTTCTGCTCAGCTGCCTTTCACACTTAGCTTGCTTCTCAGTAATTTCAAAGTTCACCCTGAAGCTAGGTGGCTTCTCCAGAACCCAGGTGGGAGATGACCCTCCCCGCAGGCCCCTGCTCTTTGCAGTGGCCGGCCCACAGCTGTCCTGCGTCACCCACAGTGGCTGTGCTTCTCCAGGGCCTTCCACACCCGGGGGTTCACTGTGGTGGGGTAGGCGGCCAGAGGCCCTAGCAGTCTGGGGCAGCCCTGCTGGAGCTGAGAATCCCACCCAGAGGACAGAAGTGGGTCACTGCCTGCCCGCCCTCGGTGGAGAGAAGTCCGTCCTGCTGACACCTCCATGCCGCCGCTCAGTGTCCTGGCGTTGTCTGGGCACGAGTGCTCTTGCCTGTGTCCCTCGGGTCAGGGCCGTGGGCAGGAGTGGGCGGTTGCTGCGCCGGGTAGTTCGGACCCAGTGCACCCTCGGGTTTGGAGGAAGGGGAGGGTGAAGGGTCTGGAGCCACCTGGCCCTCTGCCAAGGACAGAGGTGTCACGGCCCCTCTTTCCCACCCCCATGGAGCAGGTGGTGGACGCTTCCCGGAGCATCGAAGATGTTCACCAGGAGATCCGCGTGCTCTCGGAGGAAGCCATCCACACCGCTGCCCAGAGGCCACTCAGCGAGCTGTGGACGTGAGGGGACCTGCGGTCCAATGGCCTGCAGATGTGGCTTCAGGGCTGTTCCCGTGAAGAGACTACAGTGTGACTGTTCTTCCTGAGGGGTGCACAGGTGCAAGCCACCCCAGCTGCCTCCTTGTGGAAGGTGCTGGCCTCACTGTTGCTGGGGGTCACCACAGCCTCGGAAACGGCGCTCATGTGCAGTGAGGGTCTCCTGGGCACCAATAAAGTCGAGTTCCTAGGAGGCTCCACGTTTCAGACCCCAGCCTCACCCCTGGTGGACAGACAGGGCCTGTGGTGTCTTCTCGCTGTCGTCCTGACCTGGGGCCTGCCCAGCTGTGCGAGTCACTGCCCCCAATTCTGACCCTGGAACTTCCTGTCTCCGCTTGCCCTGAGGACAGTGCGCTTCCGGGAGCAGCACGGGGCACTGGGCCTCCCAGCAGACTGGACACTGGTCTCCCAGCAGACTGGGGGTGACCTGTGCACAAGCCCTGACCAGGCTGCAGGGGGATAAGTAAAGGCCCTCAAAATGGGAGAGCCCCTGGGTTCCCAGGGCAGGCCCATAGTAGTCATGGACAGAGCAGGGCCAGTGGGGCTAGGTGGCAACAGGCACAGAGGATGGGGAAGGGCCAGGGAGTGGAGGTGTCTTCCATATGGGAGACAGAGAGGAGCCCCCCGGGCCTCTGGAAGGGAGCAGCCTGTGTGGTCACCTGGATGAACACCCTCCAGGACAGACCCCAGCCAGCCACAGGGCAAGTAAGAGCCAGCAGGCAGGCTGCACCAGGCCTGGCCATGCAGAGCTCTCCAACTTGGGCCGTCCCCGTATCTGCCCAAGGGAGGAGCCTTTCCCTCCCTCCACCTACCAAGGTCTCCAGCAAGGCAACAGACTCCCCCCAGGGGCACTGCCTCCCTCCTCAAGAAATGGCTGCCCAGTGCTTATATACACCTCTTTAGATCCCATTTGCGCACCATGAGCCTGACCCTGGATGGGGGAGGCAGGCGGCCCTCGGGGAGTCACATCTAAAGACAGCTTGGGAAAGCAGACACACCAACTGTTTTCTACCGAAATGGTTATTATTTGCCAATAAGAATTGCAGACTATGCTATTCAGGATGGGTACCAGTCTCCAGCAAGCCTTTTCCAAAATAGCCAGCTCCCCTGGGCAGGGGTCCACCCAGCCCTATGGAAGGGGACCATGCCCAGTCTTCCCTCTACCCCCATCTCAGCCCTGTGAGGGGAGCAGAGGGGAGAAAGGCAGGAGAGGAAATAAGTTATCAGCACTTGGGCAGGGTTCCCTGCTTTCCTTGGCCACAGCGGACACCTGAGCAAGCTTCAGCCCGGCCTCTGCTGCGCAGGGCTCCCAGGGCGCCAGGTACTCCTGCCCCTCCTGTCTCCTGGTGGGGCCAGAACCACTGGACAGATAATAGCTGGGGTGACATCGGGGACCTGGGGACAGGGTGGGAGGCAGCAGGTACTGGCACAGGTGCAGAGGAACCCTGGAGACTGCCCACCAGTGCACGCTGCCCACCCACCCTTCAGGTCTCACCACCCACCTCAGTGACCTGCAAGGGCAGTCCCACAAAGAACAGGATGGGGAGGGGCACAGCTCTGGAGTGCCCCAGCCCTAAAGCGACTGGGAGCCGTGCAGGTGCCCCACGCACCAGCTGTGGGCCATGCACACTATCCGGGTCCCCACAGCTACCTGCCTGCCCCTTCCCCAGAGCCAGGAGTGACACTGCAGTAATCCCTGCCTGACCTGCCCTGAGGGGACCCTCAACAGCACACTGGGCAGAGCCTACAGGCAGGCACACACCCGAGGGCTTGCCGGCTGTGGTTGAGGCCACTGGCCATTGCTCCTCATACACCAACCTGCAGGTCAGCCGAGGCCAGCTGGGGAAGTGCCCTGAGACTCGTGTCTGTGCAATGAGTTCGAGCAGGGCTTTAATGCCAAACCAACCACAGGACAGGCCTGGAGGAGGCAGGACGGACGTGGACACGCTCAGGGCTGGCAGTGTCGTGAACTCCCAGAGGCCCAGGGCTGCTCCCTGCAGGCTGTTCCTCATGCCAGACAAGCCAGCATGAACCAGGCTGAGCAGTCAGGCCTCCAGGGTGCGCCGTCCTCAGAGTGGGTGGCCCTTGGCAGGCAGCGGGCGGGGCGAGGGGTGTGGCAGCGCAGTGCCCGGGGTGGGGCTGGTTCTGACACTGCAAGGACCAGTGGAGGCCAACCCCCAGCCCCAGGATTTCAAAGGGACAAGATTTCAAAGTCTTCATCTTCGGAATCGAAGAACCTTTCCAGTCGCTCTGTGTCAGAGGAATCTAGAAGACAACGCCATGCTGACAACTCTTGTGGCTACTCTGGGGTGATGGGCGAAGATTATGCAAGAGGAAGGGCCAGGGCCGACCGGGGAGTCCCAGCATGCTCTGGGCCTCCCTAAGGCTGTGTCTGAGTAGTCCAGGGGGGCATCCTTTGATGGCCACACCAGGATGAGGCCGTGGAGGGCACAGAAAGGAAAGGGACCAGGGTGCCAACGAGAAGAGGAACTTTACCCAGAGCCCGGCCACATGGGAAGGGCTGAGGCTGGGGGTGGGGGTCGGGCTACACCCTCGCCCAGGCTGTGCAGTCTTCCTGGGGCCTGGCGCTGGTTCCACTCTAGTGTTTTCCCCAGGAACACCCACACCATGCAGCTGCAACCCAGTTCAGGGCCCAGCGTGTTACCCACAGGGCCTGGAGACCCTCGCAGTCCACCCAGGGTAGAGGGTGGGCAGACAGTGTTGCCCCTGCTAGCCTGAGGCAGACCACACTAACCCTGATGGGCCGGGGCAGGGCAGGGCAGGCAGACCCACCCCCGGCAACAAGACAGGTCGGCCTAGACTCACCGAGGGACAGGGCCAGCACATCAGGGCCTGCCAGGTGGGAGGGCTGCTGCTCCACCAGCTCGAACATGGGCAGGGCACCGCCGAGCAGCGACAGCTGTCAGTGAGAGCTGGGTGAGGGGTGGCCCTGCCCACCAGCTCACCCCGCTAAGGGGCCACGGTCATGTCCTGGATAAACATGCTGGGGCCCATGCAGCAGACAGGGAAGCAAGGTGGTTTCACCCCAGCTGCCGTGCGAGCCCAACAGCAGTGGGCACTCGTGGCCAGCCATCCACGGCCTACGCCTGGCTCTGCACCAGTGGGGTACAGGGCAACAGCTTTTGGGGCAAACCCTCCCTCATCCCGCCAGCAGGACGGCTGGCTGAGGAGCCAGAGGCCCCTGTGACATCAGTGTGCCGTATCTCGTCACGCCATGGCGGGGACGTCAATGTGCCGTATCTCGTCACGCCATGGCGGGGAAATCAGTGTGCCGTAGCCTATCATGCCATGGTGGGGGACATCAGTGTGCTGTATCTCGTCACGCCATGGCAGGGGAATCAATGTGCCGTAGTATGTCACGCCACGCAGGACACAGAGCAGAGCCCTGATGCCGCAGGCCCACTCCAGCCCGAGAGCAGACACTGAGCAAGCTGTGGGGCGGCATGCCTCAGGCTGTCTCCCTGGGCTACACGCGGCGGGGTCGGGGCGGCTACAAACCTTCTGGACTTGCTGGCACCAGTCGTTAAAGTCGTCCTCAGTTTTACAGAAGAAGCCCTGAAATGTAATGACCATCGGTCAACAGCATGGTGCCTTGTTCCCAGCAAGCTGAGGTGCCACACTCTTAGCTCCCAGTGCCAGCCCGGCCAGGGCCCCAGCCTGCATTTGCAGGGTGCCCCACACTCGGCCCCAAGGCACGACTCCACATGCTGGGAGCCTCGCCAAATCTGGAAACACAACAGGCTATGGCTGTCCGTGAGGGCAGAAGGGGGCCAGTACTCCCCTCCCAAGACCATGCAGCAGGGCCAGACCTCGGTCTCAACTCAGTAGGAGCCCTGGCAACCCAGTGGCACAGACCAGCAGGAGCCCCTCAAAGACAGACTGGCCACACACTGAGAGGATGGGCAAAGCCACCGGGCACGACCAAGGACTGCTAGGAAAACTAGGATCTTTTTAAAAAAAATTTTCGCTACAGGGTGCATGTGCTTGTTGGGGGTGGTGGTGGTGAAAGATCACCTCCCATGGGGGACGGCCACTCCAAAGTCCCTTCCCTGCTCTCCTTTTGGAATATTTCTGGCACACACCCAGCGTGATTTTCAGACTACCAGGTCCAGGCTTGAACCGCACAGTCTGCTATGTGGGATCCAGTGGCTTAGCTGCTATACCACCTGCTGGCTTGGGAGATGATTCTTTTTTAAAGAGAGGTTTTTGGTATGTGGCTTGCTGGAGAGACAGACACAAAGCGAGAAAACACCCCCCAGAGGGGATAGCCATGCTGCCGTCCCTCCTCCTCCATCATCCTCTCGGGACCTTGGGCACGCATGCACACCCAGTGTGAGTTTTAAGCCGCAGCGTCCAGGACTCCAGCAGTGTTCAACTATGTGGGAGTCCAGTGACGTGACAGTATGCTATCTGCTCGTCCAGGAAACTGGAATCTTCAACTGCTATCTGTGACCACTGGGCCCAAGGAATTCTCGACACTGCCAAGTGTACAGATGGTGCCAGGCAGTGCAGTGGTCAAGCCCAGTGCGCAGGGGGCTAGATCCCACGTGCCGGCACCCGAAACACCACACTGGGCATGCGTGACCCAGAGCCCGATGGTGAGAAATGGGTAAGGAGACTGTGTGGTGGCCAGTCCCCTCTGGGGCTCTCTCTGGCAAGTGCACGTGCCCGCAATAAAGAAAACGGATGTCAAACAGGAGGAGAAGCACGGCCTACTCCACCCTAAGGGGCCAGCCTGCACCCAGTCCCCGCAGCAGGCCAGGGCGGGACTCCACACCATGTCCCCTTCCACTCGTGCCTAAGGCCTCTGCCAACCGTGGCCCCCAAGCACCGCCTCCCCTTCCCAACACGGCCTGTGTGTTGGGTCAGCCGACTGTGGCACGCAGCATGCACTGGAGCTGCAGGGACACAGGGGCCGTCCCCCTGGGAGGATGCCTGCCTCAGAGCTGCAGCCTCCACCAATGCCACCCACCTGACACCGGGGGCGTGAGCAGGCTGTGCACGGCCAAGTGTTGGCCACGTCTGGGAGGCTGTCCCTTGGGACCAGGCCCACCCCGTTCCTTCCTTGTAGACAGTGGAACATGACAAGGGTGTGTCTGCAAGTCGGGTGAGTGCTCCCCCGGGGCCTCCTTGGCATCAAATACTCTCTGAGACCAGGCAGGTCCCAATCACACACTGAAGTCCCAGCTGTGCAATCAAATGGAGGGCAGGCTCCATTCGTAGGGAGTCACCGCCCCACCCGGCAAGTCACAACTGCCAGTGCCTGCTAGTTAAAGGGGCCTCTGCTCGCACACACCACCTTATGCACACATGTTCACACAGTGGGTGCTCCTGCACATCCACACTCATTGGCCCACGTGGAGGCTGTGAAGGTCACGCAGGAGGCACCAGGCCCGGAACGACGAAGCTGCTGCGGGACACAACTGCATGTCCTCCGCTCCCCACCGTGACCACAGCGCCTACCCAGGGATGCCCAGGAGACTGCAGGATGGGAGGGACGCTTTCCCTTCCCAAGCTAAGACAGGCTGCACGCGGCCTCCGGCGAGCTCCCCGGGCCTACCACGGCGATGGAGGGGTCAAGCTCCCTGATGCTCATGCGGCTTGGCGGGTGCTGGCAGTGGAAGCTCTCGTCGGGGACAAGGCAGCTGTCCGTGAGCTCCACTGCGGGCTGTGTCGTGTGGGGGTCCAGGTAGATGAGCTCGTCGCCTGGCAGGACACGGGGGCAGGCTGTCAGGGCGGGCGCCCGGGAGGCCACTTGGCCAGGTGCAGGGGAGCAGGCCACTTCCCTGCCGTGGCTCTGAGTCAAGCGGGTGCCCCATGCACGGGGGTAGAGGGCAGCATACCTCGCAGGACGCCAGCCACCCGGGACGTGCGGCCGACTCACCCACGTAGCCGATGAAGTAGTGCGCACTGTTGGGCTTCCCTCCGATCACCCCCAGGGACTGCGGCATCATGAAGCAGTGCTGTGGGGCAGGATGAGAGCCCCTAGGCCTCCTGTTCCCGTACGGCAGCCCCGCCCTGGGGCCACGAGGGGACACAGGAAGGAAGCGAGAAGACGTGGTCCCGAAGAGCCCCGGGGGCAGGACGTGTGCACCAGACAGAACCGAACCATGGGGTGCTGTCTGGGAGGGCTGCATGTGGGTGGGAGCGAGGGGCCTGAGGACGGACTGTGCAGGGATGCGGGGAGGAGGCCTGGGAGAGGGGCAGCAGGCTGGCGGAGGTGGCTGCAACTGCCCAGGGGTAGGGGCAGGGAGGGGTGAGGTCAAGACAATTGAAAACTGGGCAAAAGCAGCACTTGGAGCCACAGCGGTGTCTCCATGGACTCTCCCATCTGAAATCCGAGTTAGCGGGAGGAAGGGGGTCACAAGGTGTGTGGATGGAGGTCACTAGGGGTCTCAGTGGCCCATCTGTCACCCGAACCCCTGCCAAAGTCCCCCTCCCTACCAGGCACCTTCAGGTGCAGAGAGGCAGGAGATGGATCTGGGGTGGACACCGGGCCTTGGACCTCTCCCGTGTTAGGCACCTTAATGCTCAGTGTCTGCAGGGGGTGGGGGGCACTGCCCACGAGTACCAGGCTCACTCGGTGGTCAAGGCTCTTGTCTGTATACCCCGTGAGCTGGGTGACTGGCACAGACAGGCTGGAACTCCCTGCCCCACCCACCACAAGCTGGCTGGGTGATGCGGTGGCGTGACAATGACTCCAGATGTCACGCGAGCCCAGGGAGTGAGACCCACCTTCAGCGTCTCCACGTAGGCCTCATTGATGTCTGTAAGCCCCAGGCGCAGGGGAATGAGAAGCACCAGGGGCCGCCATGGCGAAGGCCTGCTGGCTACCTCCGCCTCCGC